AATGCTGCTGGGTTCACTCAGAAGGAATTTCACTTTGAGTCTGCCCTACAGGGTGCCTGTGGGGCTGGGGTCTGCGGGTGCAGCTGTTCCTTGCTTCGTATGCACCAGGAGCTCTGACTGAATTCGTCCTATAGCCTGTCAACCCTGTGAAGTTTTCACCATTTCTCCCAGAGGTCTCCCATGGAGCCCCTCTGGGAAACTGGGCACAGTGATGCGCACACTGGCCACGCTCCTTTTCCAGCAGTAGACCATGACCCCAAACGCTAAAAGCCCGGGTGATGGGCAGGGTGCCTCTTCTGCGAGCAGGGGAAGCTATGGGGAAGGTAGGCAGCCGAACTGGGATCACCAGGCAGGGGGAGGAGTCTTCGGCTCCCCTCTCCTGGAGCACAGAGAAACCTCCCTCTTTGGGAAGCAGCCGGGTGGCAGATGGCCGGGCTGCAGCGCTGAGCTCTCAGGGGGTGTATCATTTCTCTGGCTTGTTCTGGACGCTGATACCCATGTTGGAGAGGAGCCCCTCCTTCAGCTTGTTCCCGTCGTCTTTATGCCCTGATTCTTGTGCAGCTGCTACTAAAGATCACAGGCAACTTGAGCTGCAACCTCACTGGGACTCTTGTGGCTTGCCTGCTGCTATTCCTCCCCTTTGACACCGAGGTGCTAGGTCACATCCTTCCCTGTGCCCCAGGTTTTCTTTTATATGCGTAGGGGTCTCCAACGTATGATTTAATCTTTCAGCCACATGTACAGTTCAGCTTTGACCTCCTTTCTAATCATCGCAAAAGAAGGTAGGGACCTCTGACAGTGACCATGTGGTTTCAGAGCACAGCCAGGGACAAGACTAAGAATTGCATTGGGCTCATGAGAAATCGCCTGCACCCATGTGGAATGTATCCCATAGATACACATGTGCTATTCCACCACTTCCCCACTACAGCTATCCAAACTGCTTTGCGCATTGGGTGGCAGCTGCAAAGTAAGGGATGTTGTGACAAGTGAGTCACTTTGTCTCAGCTTTCTGAAATATTAATGGTGCTAGTGAAATTGGGATGGGAAGAAAGACAGTGGGAAGGGTGAAGTTTTACAGTTACATAGTACTCTAGCTTTTCTGACCTCTTGTAGGTGATTTCTGCAATAGTTGTCCTTGGTTAATGAGCTGTATGGAAGATGGCTTGTGCTGTATGGCAGGGAGAGGTAGAAGACTGAGATACGGTGACAGTTGTGGTCCACAATCTCAAATTTTTCATAGCTATTCTTAGAACCACCAATTTACTTTCAGGAGGGAGTTGATTTTCCTTTGGATATGTATCCTGAGACAGAATGCGTCTGTGTACCAGTTCATCCTCCTTGGGAATACTACCAGTTTGTAGAGAAAGGATATTGCTGACCTAACATTGCCTCCATTGGCTGAGAGTTTTTACATCAGTGATGCTGCAAACCTCAGGAGAAGCGATACATCTGCCTCCTTAGCTCAGTGATCTCCTTTCTGCCTTCTTCCCGCCTGCAAAAGGGTTTTCAGAGGTTCTCAACTGTAGCAGAGACTCTGTAGGACTTGCCACACCTGCAGGTGTATCACTGTTACATTAATGAGCGGTCAAAGAGTATTTGACAGACTGCATCCAGGCAATTCCTGTCTGTCTGACTTTTTAATCTTATGGATATGAAGTTTTTTATTTTTTATAGATAATGCTAAACATTCCTGAGCATTTCTGCTTTGTGTGAGGAAGGACCCCAAGGGCAGGGTTCTCATAGACTGCTGTACTACTTGCACATTTTCTTCTCCAAACCAAGGGGGCTGTTTCAGAAACCATTTATAAATGGAATGTAATAGAGCCAGGCTAAGTGAGAGTAAACGTAGGTGCAGCAGACAGGTTGAAGACGAGCACCCCGCATTTGTCTGGACGAAAGAGGCCGGTCCCCATTAAGAGGGAAAATATAAATTGGGTAAGACTGAGAGTGATTGAGAATGCCTTGAGACATCTGGTTCCCATCTCTGGTTCTCATTTCTATCCTTATTCAAAGCGACAAATGCACAGTAGCTGTCTTTGAAAATGGATGGGAGTAGGAACTCAAAAGTACTTTTGAGAACAGAGCTTGTAATGTATCGAACACTGGGTGGATGGAGGAAATTTCTAGTGTTAGCCACTTCTGTGAAAGTCAAACTCAAACCAAATTGGTTAAGTCAACAGAGCCAGTCCCCAGGGGGAATCAGAGTTACATAGGCAAAGACTTCAGATGATCTTCTGGAACTGAAGGGCTTTCTGGATCACTTTTCTCTGAGAGGAGTCAAAATGCTAGAGCAAGGTAGGTGTACTTGTGCAAGCAGTAAAAGTATCTGTCTGATCCATGGCTCTCCCTTTTTCCTTTTTTTTTTTTTTTCTTTTCCCCCCCTAGGGTAAAAAAGAAAGGGGGGTGGGGATGGCCAGAAAAATAAGAGCAGATAAAACCCTGTTGCTTTTGTTGCTTCTTCCTGGCATACCATGTCTCCCACTAGTTTTTCAGGGTCCTAGGGAAACTGTTTTTTCAGTCAGTTGTTTTGGAAATAGCCAGAGCCTCTATATCAGATCTGATAAAATAATCTTCTGTCTTGAGCTCTGATAGGGTTGAACAATTGAAGTTGGGGGCTGAAACTCAGATGTCTTCTGAGAGTTTACAGTCTTTTTCCTTCTGTGCATCAATAAGGTGTTGCTTTCCCAGCATCAATACAGGTGCTACTTTCCTGCTTTCCGGAAAGGATGTTCTCATCACTATTTCTCTTCTGAAAGCTAGTCAAATCTGTCTATTTTTGTTTTAATCAATGGCTTCAGTAAATGTCTAACATTTAAGCTGTGTATGATCAAACAGCATTCTTAAAGGTAAAAAGTTTATAAAGAGAATCTAGTATCACACTTTCTGCCAAGCTGAAGTCCTTGCTGGAAGTTGATTTGGGTTCTTGAGGTATATGAAGAAGGCACCCTGGGAATGCACACAGCTACTTCAGGTAGGTGTACTGTGCACTGAATATTTCATTTAAAAGAGGTTAGTTTTTATCCTAAAATTAGTACTTGAGGCAGCTCAGAAATCATTTCATAAAACAGTCAGTCCTCCTTTGCTGGCTGAACTTTGTCAATGCAGGGGACCGTTTCAAGTTGCATTTGTTTCATTGCTGATATTAGTGGGGCAAAGCAATGATTCTTGGAAATGCTAATGCTTTGTTTATATCACATAGAAAATAGCAAACTCCAGACTGCAGAAGGCACTAGATCCAGGTACATCCAAGCAACTGTTGTTAAATACAACCAGAGGAATGGTAATGCTCCTCCGGTGAGAGGAGGTATCTGTGGGAGGTCAGCTTGCATTTGACGTCAGGAAGAAGCAGGCTAGTGAGGACTGATCTGCAGGGTGGTAGCATCAACTTCTCGTCACTTGAGGAGGAAGAGGAATGCTGCCAGATGGACATAGCTTGAGGAATTATGTGGTATCTGTTCCTTCATTCTTGCAGTCACTGTCTGGTCATGGTCCTTGCAAAGACACCCAGTCTTTACCAAACTCATGAAGCCTGCTTTCTTAATAGCTAACTTCTGGTTGGCTTTTAACAACCTTTCTCCAGTTGGATCGTGCTTCTCCATCTCTTTGTTAAAAAATAATAGCTTTTGTAGTAGTTAGCAATTTCTCAGGCAAACACAGTTCTGTAGCACTGGCATGGTTCCATTAATCATATAGAGTAATCCGTTTGTGCCAAAAACCTATCAAGTTGAGCTGCCTTTTTGAGAGCTGGTGGGAATGTGTACCCAGTGGTGTTCTTGCTGGCATATGGACTTCCTGTGTGTGCAAGAATGACTGGGGCATGGGGGGGTCCCCCTTAGCTGTGCTCAGGGTACACAAGCAGGCTGAGAGAGCCTGGCAAGTCTCAGGACTCAAAGTGATATGAACAGATCTTTGGGAAGTTTTATATTTAGGGACACATGGCCTCAGCAGCCATTTTTTATTCCCTCCCCTGAAATTTTCAGCAGTCAGAATAAGGGCCTCAAGTCTCATTAATATAGACAGGAGTTCTTTTAGCCTTAAGCTCCGTCAGCAGTCTAATGTGTGTCAGATGGGGACATTTACCCTGAATGCCAGATGAGGGCAAGAAATGCGTGTTTCCTTTGGTTATATGGTGAACTTCTGGGAGCGGAAGGGAGACTTAATGTGGCCCAGCTAGAAGATTAGAAAGATCATTCTAATAGCAATGTGTATGAAAAACTCAAGTGTTCAACTTGATCATCTTGGAGACTAGGGAGACTTCAGTCCTCTGGGCTGAGCCCTGCTTGAGAAGTACACTCATGTTGCATGAATGAGCCTTGTTGCATGGCAGAATCCAAGCTGTGTGTGTTAACTGGGCTGTGCAGATGTCCTGCCAGAGCCGCTGATGGAGGAACAGGCAGAAAGTGGCAGCATCTTTAGGGACAGAGGGGAAAATAGGGGTAACAACAGGAATATAGGAAGCATACAGCAAAGCGAGTAGGACTCAAGCAGCTATGGAAAGTGGCAAGGCATTGAACCAGGGCATAGAAATCTATGTAAGAGGCAGAAAGAGGAGCAGGGCTTAGCTACCTGCAAATGTGAGGAGCAAATGGAAAGCTGAAGAAGAGGGTTTCCGCATGAATTGGGCAGAGGCAGAAGGGGATCAGGCTTGTTGGCTTCGTTGCATCCTATTTTAGTAAAAGATTGATGTTGGTGCTAGCAAAAGGCACAGCCCATGGGGCTGAGCTAGCATATTTAGCTTGTTATTTCAAGTTGGAAAGAAATAACAGTAATGCAGAGTCCTGTAAGTTCTATGTGTATAATGTGAAATCCCATGGTGCTGCAATGAGATTGCTGTGTTTTGGGAACTCTGTAGAGATGCACCTAACCATAGCTGTTGCGGGGCATGGTTCTCCTTCAGGTGTCAGCTGTGTCTGTGTTGTGTACGTTCAAGTTGTTAGTTCCACCAGGTGTTTGTGGCAAACTACAGTGAGTGTGTGGGACTTTGTTTCCTTGGTTAGATCCCAAACGTTTCACAGCTACCTGGAGGACATCATCAACTACCGCTGGGAGCTGGAGGAAGGGAAACCCAACCCCTTGAGGGAGTCCACCTTCCAGGAGCTGCCTCTACGCACCCGGGTGGAAATCTTGCACCGCCTCTGTGACTACCGCCTCGATGCAGATGATGTCTTCGACCTTCTCAAGGTGCTTTGGGCAGCAGGGAAGGGGGAAATGGGGCAGCAGGGCCAGATCAGTGAATCTGCCTGGGAACAGAAGGGTTGATGCTGTTAAATGCATTTTAACACCAGGTAACTGGTACCGGTGCAGTGGGTCAGCAGTTCTCCATCTCCTCTCTTGCCTTGCAGAGGACCCAAGGCAAGCACTCAGGACTGCTCTTGGGGCCCTCATCCTGAGTGGATGTATTCGTAGCATGGGAGTCACTAAGTAAATTGGCTTTATTGGCTACTCTTCCTGAGAAGAGTGAATTTGGAGATGCTCCAATGGTAATGGCAGGGCTGCGAGAGCTGAGACTGCCTTGCTGAGGGATGGTGTGAGATGAAAGGATGGGGGTGAAGTGTAGTGGGGGAGCTGGGGGAAGGGTGATGGCGGGCAGGGGGGAGGGAGCTTCTCAGGGCTGTGTGTGACTGTCGCCAGCTCTAATTAGCCCTTCCCTGTCAGGAGCACCAGAGATGAAATGTTAAAATGAGAGAGGCCATTCAAATTAGAGATGCCAATCTCAATCTCTCCCTGCACAGAGAGCGAACATCGCCTTCCCCCTGGAGTAACATTTTCCCAGCTCTGGCCTGGAGGAGCAGCTGTACTGCTGCTGTGGCATGGTGGGAGGGGAGAAGGGAGGTGTTTGCGGAGGGTGTCATCATGTTTTGTGTGACAATGTGGCCGCTTTTCAACTTGTCACCGTCTGGTGGGGGGCTTCCCGATGGGCACAGGGCTTGGATGCCGACAGCCTCCGCGTGGAGCCACTGGGCGAGGACAGCAGTGGTGCCCTGTACTGGTACTTCTATGGCACGCGGATGTACAAGGAGGATCCTGTGCAGGCGAAAACCAATGGAGAGCTGGCTCCAGACAGGTAACAGTCCCCACAGCATTCCCCTGTGTCTGGGTGCAGGGGGCAAGGGGGGCACGGCACAGCCAGCCTGGCTGTAGGGGACTCCGCCTGACTGCTGTTGTGTCAGGGGGCTGCAGGGGGGAGCCTGGGAGAGGGCTGGGGCAATGTGGGCGAGATTGGAGTTGCCAAGCAGACTGCGAGCTGCCCCACCGTCGTTCATTGTGTCAGAGCCAGCCTGCAGCCTTTGTGGCACCAGGAGAGCCTGCTGTGGGAACGATGCTGCCTGCCCCACTGCATTCCTCCCCGTCTGCCCCGCACCGTGCCGGCGGCTCCCAGATCAGGCTTCCAGCCAGTGGGAATCCCTTCTCTCCTCCCCTCCCTGTCCTGTTGCTGCTCTGATTTAATCCCTTCCTTTAGCGGGGTTCCCAGCAGCTGTTCTGACTTCCCTGCCCTTCTTCCATCCTGCCAGCCACAGGATGATGAGCCCTTGCTCAGCAGATATTTCATGGTGGGTTTGCTGTTTCGCAGGGGATGCGGGGGGCAGACTAACACCCCAAACGTTCCTGGGAAAACGGGCAAGAGACGAGGGCGACCCCCAAAGCGGAAAAAACTTCTGGAGGAAAACCTGCTGAGGTACAGAAAGGGTGTTCCTGCAATAGATGTAAAATGCATATATATGTATAGGGAAGTATAATGTACTTCTGGGGTTCCCCCGATAAGTATGTGTATACCAAGCAGCCATAATTTCATTGCTTCTCTGAAGTGAAGCAAGCTCAGACTTGGTGGGTACTTTGATCACTCTCCAAAGACAATTCTGAGTGAGCTGGATACCAAGTGTGGTGGAACAGTGGGTATCACTTTCCAGCCACCTCACTTCGGATGCAGTTCCTCTGAGCAGTGCTAGGGGATATGCTCTTAATAAAGAATACTTCAATGGTGTAATGCTTGAATCCAAAAATCCTGGCCTCTTGAGCCAGTATAGATTTTGGGCTGCTTCCCATGAGAATTGAAATACTGTTCTTGCCAAACTCCAGCCTTGACTTCTTAAAATTTTATGAAGCTATGAATAAATATATATGTGAAAATACATATTGGACATGTGTGTGTTCTGCATGGTGGTGTTTATCATGGTTTTGCTGTGCATTGAATAGTTGCTCCCCATTCTTCTCCTCAGAATTGGTTATGAATTGATCAATGATGTGAAGTAATGTATTTATTGTGTCACTCCTCTTTCTTTTTGTTTTTTTTTTGGCAGGGAGAAGGCAGAAGAGAACTTGCTAATCCGTGAGACTCAGATAAGAAATGGTAAAGAGATTTTACCTGGTCAGGGTTGATACAATCAGCTAACATGACTCTTGAATCATCAAAGCCTAGAGAGATGCCTTTCTCAGGAGCAGGAAGGTCTCTGCTCGTGTCTGGGGCTGAGTTTGGAAGGAGGGGTTGGCATCACAGGCTGCCCTGCAGCTGGGAGCCTGGGCACCTGCGGGCTTCCTACTTTATCGTGGATTAGTTTGGGATGAAGAAACCTACCCTATTGGGTTACACTAGGCCTCGGGGGCTGACCTACACAAGTGAAGTTGATGGAAACTGGCTGTGAATAGCACAAGCCCCTGTTTGTAGCCAGTGAGGTTTTTTGGACTGGAAAGAGAGTGGGGTCAACAATGCCAAGATAAGGAAGGAAAAAGCTTTTCATTTCTCCTCCCCTCTCCTTCCTTGTGCCATTGGGTGTCTGAACTGTGTAAATAATCCCTTGGGGATACCCACCTAAGGGTTAACGAAGCAAGCAGAAAAAGTTAAGTTGGCAATGTAATGAGAATGTTGAGTTTGAGGGGGCTGGGACTCATTTGTCATACATGTGCACCCAGTGGCTTCTACATAACCCAGGAGCTCAGCCTGCTCATCTCCCCACAGTAAAAGGCAAGGGTGGCATTGTCTTTGCCATGCCTCCTTCCCTTTGCCCTTTGTCTTCAGATTTCCTGGCGGCTGCTTGGGAGTGATGCACGTGAGGCTCTGAGGGTTTTATCAGATCATTGTCTTCCAGCAAATTGTGCCACTTCAGCTGCAGAGTAATCTCCTGGCACAAAGCAGTGCTGTAGTCCTGCTTGCTATTGAAAGGAGCTGGCCATAGGCAGCTGGCAAGGGAGGGGAAATAAGGATGCAGTGTGCAGGTAAACTCCCCACTGCAGTGGGCAGGGGATGGCTTCATATAACCAGGGAGACAGAAACCAGCACACGTTTGGTCCTTTGCCATCTCGATTACCAGTCCCCAGTGCATTAACTGGAGCCGAAGCCAATGGTGGGTTAAGCTATAGGCTGGCCTGTTACTTGGAGCTAGCACACCCACTATGGTATGGAGGTTTCTAACTGAGAGCAGGTGGCTGGAGGGGACGGTACAGCTTTCCTGTCTTCCTGGGGCAATCTGATAGCTTGTGTGACAGAGCCACTGGTGGCTGAGATCCACAAAGGGCCCAGAGTCAGGTTCAGAGAGAAAAGGCTCTGTTTTTTTCTTCCCTGTATTTTTCATAGTTAATTTGCTTGAAAATGAGGTGAGAAGCTGCAGGACATCTGCCACTGTGGGGATAGTGACCATGGATTTCTTTCCAGTAGCCAGTGGTTAGCTCTAGAAAAGTCTAGAGGGAGCCAAGAACCCCTCAGCCTGAAGGAGTTTGAACCAACATCTTCCCCCTCCCCCAAAATGGGCCACAGCCCTTTTTGCTTAGAGAGTGTCCTGGGGCAAAAGCATGCAAGTTGTAACCCATGAGGTTCTTCTGCTCTGTAAACATTTGCAGAGCAGGAACCACACTTCCCCTCTCCAGGTGGGTGTTCCAACCACCACGCGAGACAGCCTTTCCTTTACAATTAATATTCAAATGTTTCACACAAGGCAGAACAGCTCTGAGTGTCTTGGTAGTTGGGACATGCTTCAGAGCAGCGGGTGATCTGCTTCAGACCCCACTCTGGGTTGAGCAGGGATGGGATGTGAACTTTTGGAACTTCCCCCTCATCTGGCAGCCCGATGAACCCCATCCTTTACTTCCTTTTCTGTTCCTCTTCTGTTCTTTCAAGTGTCTGCGAACAAAATGTTTCATTTGGGGAGAATGGGAGGTTTTGTTCACCGCAGCCAAGGTTTGCAGTGCTAAAAGAAAAAGGTTATTTCAAATAACATTCATTTTTGATGTTTTTATTCTGCTGCCAGACTGTCAGACATTTGCATTACCCTATGTTCTGCCCTAGCTGACAGACTCCATTACAAACCCTTTTTTCTCATCTGTCATAACTGGAATGGAGGTTTGCTACAGGGATGCCATACTACCCATGTGTTGCAAAGTGGCACCATTATTTCCTCACCTGTGTGCTTCCTCTGTGTCCTGGCATCACTTTCTAGTGCTGCTAGGGGATGTAGCAGTGCTTCTGGTGGACGAAGAGAGCTTTGAGTCTATAGCAAAGAGCATGTTTCCCATAACAGTGGCCATTGGCAGTACCCTTTGCCCTTCCTGAGGCCTGAGTAGAGAAGAGAAGGGATAAAGAAAAGCTGTTACTCATAACTGCTGTGGAGATAACATCCTTTCATGTCGTTGAAGGGTCCCAAGGGCCTGGCCGTGGGACATGGTGGCTGCTGTGTCAGACGGAAGAGGAGTGGAGGCAGGTCACAGAGAGCTTCAGAGAGAGAACTTCCCTTAGAGAGCGGCAGCTCTACAAACTCTTGAGTGAAGACTTCCTGCCGGAGATCTGCAACATGATTGCACAGAAGGTGAGGAGACATGACATCCTGTTTACCTCCCTTTGACCGCTTCCAAGAGCATGGACGTTTGCTGATTGAAGGAGAGCTAAATTCAAGCAGCCTGTCACCCTGTCCTGCTTCCTGCCGCCTCCAGCCTGCAAGTGTTGTGGATGCAGGAGCCATTCAGCTTGTGTATGGGGAGAAAGGCTCTCCCCAGTGGAGTGGCAGGGCTAGAGTGGATACTTATGGATCTGGTTCATGATTGCATGGCAGTATAGGTAGGATGACTGAAGAGGTTACTGTCTTCAGCCATGTTCTTTGTCCCTTTTCTCCTAGCAGGGTATCTATCTGCTTTTGAACTGCTTTGATTTTGATTTGAACAGCCTAGCTTTTCTATGCAAACTGCTGTGATTCTACTTTTGCTGCTGTTTCTCTCAGCTGGCTCTGCTGAAGGGGGCAGTGGCTGCTCGAGCTGCTATGTCAGAGCCACGAAACCCTGAAGGGTACTCTTCATCAACGGAATGTTTTCAGGTGGGACAGATTTGGCACAGGATCCTTCGGCTAGATGGCTTTGTAAAATGTGCTCTGCAGTCAGCGTGATGTTCTTGGATTGAGTTCAGTTTGCTTGTTTTCTACCCTTGTAAAGCTAATAGGGATTTCATGGTCGCTTCTAGCCCCCAGAGTTTCTCCTGCCAGTATCACCAATGTGCCCTAATTTCCTTCACTCTCTCTTTCCTTCCCTCACTTCTCAACCCTGTTTCAGGAGAAGCGTCTGCAGCGGACAGAATTTTCTCCCAGGTGGATGTCTGACCATCAGCCCATCAAACCAATCAAGCAGGAGGTGAGGGGGGGTGCGAGGGGGAGGACTACGGAGGGAGGCGAGAGCAGATGCCTCCTGGGGGAAAAAATAAACCGCAGCATCACTATTCAGTGGGAAGGAGTCGTTTGAAAGTGCTTGCGCTGAAAGAGAGATGGGTGGTAATGCCCGTCAAAGGCAGGCTGACACTCGGGGTTTCTATGGCGAGCAGGGAGGTGCTGCCCTCTGGATCGCAGAGGTAGCCGGCCTTGCCACAGACTCCTGTGCAGCTGCATATGGAAATCTGCACTCAGTCTGGGGAATTCCACTTCAATGAAAGTGCTGGCACATTCGAGGCAGTTCAAAGAAAAGTTGAAGAAGGATGAGAGGGCTAGAAGAACCGGCTTACAAAGGGAAATGACAGAAATTCAGCCAAGGGGAAAACGTGAGGCTGCAAACACATGAGGGTGTAGATAGCACGGAGGGAAAGAAGAATGACTGGTGCAGGACAGAGCTGAGAGAGGAGGGGGTCAGCTGGAAATGGAAGTCAGATTTCGGCTGCTTAAAGAAATGCTTATCAAACTGCAGCCTTGTCGTCTGAAACGCCTCTTTCCCTGCCTCTTCACCCTCATCTCCTCTCCACCGCATCAGTGTAACAGCGCTGGTGCTTGCGGGGCTGTGCAGTGAACCAGACCCAGGAAAATGGCTGAAGTTAAATATAACCTTTTTCTTTGGGCAGGGTTATTTTTAACATAGATCAGCTTCCCGATCCAGTTCACCACACAGCCCCCAACAGTCACGCTGGCACAGCCAGGGGCATGGTACAGTGGAGATGGGGGGTCTTTGAACTGGCAACTACTACCTAAAGTAATCGGTGAGGCAACACGGGATTAGCTTTGCAGGAAAAAATTGGCTTGATTCTATCGGGCCATGGCATAATCTCTTGCTGTAGATTAATGAGAAATGGTGTTTTGTCAAACCCTGGGAAATTAAACTGCAGGGAATATTCCACGTGAGCCAGGGTCAGGGGTTCCCGCAAAACAAAGGAGAAAGTACAGCGCTCCACAATAAATATAATTACTTAGAATAGGTAAATAAGAGGAAGGAAGAGCCTCTCATCATGCTGTAGATAAAAGCCTGCCGAGACGAAAATACAACCCCAGCGATGGTCAGTTTGGGGCCAGAATTGCTCTCTGCAAGGCCCACCATGCAGGAAGCCCAGGGACACGTGTTTGTTCACAGGCAGCAGAAATCCCAGAGGAGGAGGGGAGTGGGAAACACATGGAGCCTGAATGATGCTAATCAGTACCGCAGGTGCTCCAGGTCTGCTGCGGCAGAGGGCTGTTAATTGCTGCCTGTGGGCCAGTGAAACGTTTCCAGCGAGCGGGGGGCCCTCTTGGCACCCGCTGCGCCGGGGTGCAGGGAACCAGCCAGCGCAAGGATGGTGATGCTCACGCCAGCTCCCCAGCAGGATGTGGCAGTCGTCCCTGCGCGGGGAAGGTGCCAGCATGTCTGATGGCTTGTTTGCTGAGTGAAGGGTGGGCAGCAGGCGAGTCTGGGGGAGAAAACCTCAGCCTGGCGCAGGGGTGACGCCTTCTTCCCGATTCTGTGAGCTGGATGCTGCTTTGGTCTGAGATATAACTGCTCCGTAGGCTCCTAATCCTGCGGGGGATTTCTCAACAGGTGGTTCAGATTAGCTCCTCATTAAAGAGCCGCCTGAGCAGCACCCTCATTAGGGTAGTGCTGCGGAAACTGGAGCAGGGAAGGTTTGGAGGATGAGGGGCCAGGACGTGTGGCTGGAGGGGGCCAGGGCACCCGAGCCTCCTGGCCTTCTGCCCCTGAAGCCTGATATCCACTGTCTGGAGAGCAAAGCAAAAGGCATAAGTTTGGCCCTTTCGGGGTCCCTGGGGTGAAGGCAGAGATATTGTGTCCTGGAGTGCTCTCTGGCGGAGGGAAGGAGATGGTGGTGCTGCAGTCACACGAGAGGGTTAGGTTTTATCCTCGGAGTGGGGAGGAAGCTGGAGAGCGTCCCTTTGGCACCTCTTTGGTCAGGAAGGAAGTTTAACTTGTGTTGGATTCTTGTTTTTATCATTCCAATAGGCTTCTGCTTCCACCGCATCTGATAGGAGTTTGCTTGTTTGTATTGACTTACGCTTTTTAACCCTGAGTTAAGCACACTCATCCCTAATGGGTTTAAGTGGGACACCAGGCAGAAGGTACCTCTGAAAATCAGGTTGTTTATGTGTCTGAATCATCTCAAAGAGCCCGTGCCAGCATTGCTGATGTCCTGCAAGCACTGCAGGGAGCGAGCGCAGTCGTGGATGTTTGTTGCAGTTCTTGGTGCTCACTATACTGCGTTTGCGGTTTCTGGTTTTCCCTTTCTTCTTTTCCTAATTCAGCTGACATCCTCTCCTTTGGTTCAAATTGTCCTGTTGCTTTGTTAATGCTATATTTTTGGTGGGTTGATCTGGAATGTGCTATGCATTCTGTGTTGTGTCACTATAGGGTGCTGAATGCACTCTGCAGGCTTGAAGAGGTCCTGGTGTGAGCACTGCAGCTTGGATGTTGTGTTCATGTGTCCATAGGACAAGAATGGTGGAAGCTGTATGAATTCAGGGAAAAGGAAGGTCTGAGCTGTGCGCCAGCAATTGAAGAAATCAGTGTGGCACGCCAGGATGGCTTAGATCTAGTGGATGGAGAATCTAAAGGCTGATGGTCACATCCTCAGTAAAATATCTTGGTGTACCAATTTCTGGTGGCTGGTTCATGCTCACCTCTTTCTCTTCTAATTGCTGTAGAATCTCACTTTTTTGGTACCTTTCTTTTGATCAAGAAAGTTCGGAGGAAACTGCTTGATGGTGGTCAGGATCAGACCTGAAAGGAAGTTGTTTGCAATACAGGAGTAGAAAATCAGATGGTAGAGCAACTGAGAAAGGGATATGAAAACAATCAGAAGTGGAAATGTAGAACTCAGTTCTGCAGGTTTTTGACCTCTTGTACTTGGCACAGCAGTTTCATTCCTGGGCACCCTGGTGTTTGGATATTGATCTGTTGGAGGAAAGGTCTGAGAGAGACAACTGAAATGATTAGGGAGCTGGATGGATTGCTTTATAAGGAAACATTATCCTAATTGCAGAAACGTGGGAGTTTTGTGTAAGTGTCTGAGGAAGCCCATAAAGGCTTGAGTGTGGCGGAAGAAGAGGAGAATTTATGTTCACCCAGAAGAGCGTAACCAGGAATAATTGGATGGAGTGAAGGGATGAGAAATTAACTTTTGACTGAATGTGAGGAGAAGCTGGCTAATCTAAAAGCATGTGAAGTCACAGAATGGTTTTCTTTGGGAAGGGGTGGAAGCATGAAGTTCTAATAGTTGACAAAGATATAAAAAGGAAAAGAAGATAAGCAGAGTTCCCTTGTGGTGAGATCATGTTGTGCGTTCCACCCAAAAAGATCAGCACAGAATAGGTGTTTTTGCTGTCCAGTCTGTCTCTAAATGTCCTGATGTTGACAAGGGTCCCATCACCCTGTCTTGGACACTTCTCTGTGGCCATTCGTGGTTGAAGCAAAATTCTCTGAATATGTATTGTTGCTGCTGGAAAAAGGGATATAATACACAGTGCTCATTCATGGAGAGCTGCAAAGGGAGATTATAGGGCAGTGCTGTGTAGGGAAGGGAAGGCAGGGGGGAATGAATGTACTGTGAAACCGGACAACATTTTATCAAAACATCCTGAGGTTTCACTTCTGGGCAATGAAACAAGGACAAAATAGTAATTATGGTGCCAGATTTTTTTTCAGGGGATTAATAATGGGCCTGTAGAAGTTGATGGTCTGAGCTGCAGCCAAGGGACTCCAACTGACTGCTAATCCTCAGGAAATGCCTTCTGCCTTAAGTGGTGGTTGCTGGTTATTCCCTGAAAATGAAGGTGTAGAAAGCTGTATGCCCGTTGTTCTTTTCCAGTTTATATTCCCTGCTGATAAGGCACGCATATCCTGGTCTTGCAGAAGTCAATGAGGTGGGAGTGGCTGGTGGATGAACAATTCATTTGCCTTATAGTTAAATTCAGCTAATAAAGGTAATTCCCTACTGCCATATACGTACTTTGCACTTTACTGGAGAAATAGGAGCAGATGACCCTGGTTTGGGAAGCTTACGGTCTCAGTGGGATCAAGCACAGCCTTGCAGCCTTCTGGCAGTGGAGAGGTGAGGAAGTGGAGCAATAAAGAGTTCAGGCATCCTTGACTGAGAAAACTGGTTGGGGGACCCAGCAGGAAAACTGGCCAAACAAATGAAGCTAGTTCAAGGGATATTAGTGTGCATAAATATGGCTGGTCTTGTTTTGAAAGGAAAGCACTCCAAACAATACTTTGTACCAGTTTCTTTTCCTATCCAAAGTACTCTGTGGTTTATAGCAGGGCCAGGTTCAACAGAATACTCCTTTTTGCTCATGCTTGCAACGTGGGGATCCGCTCGCTGGAAGGGGTAGTGGTGTTGTGTTAGGGTGTCAACAGCCCTTTTGCCCAGAAGGGAAATACACACGATCCATCCCTGGCTTGTCTAACCCATCGCTTCTCTTTCCTTTGTCCCTGTGTCAGTAGGATTTCATTGCTTGACAAATAACTTTCCTCTACATGTTGCTTTTCATCAGAGAATTCATATGTACACATCCTTTCTTTTTACCCCTTTTTTCCTCCCAGCCATTCATTGTAGGTATGCTCTAATGCTTGCTCAGGGTAAACCTGCCTCTGCTCAGACTTCAATAAGCCTATGCATTACAGTGTTTGTTGCACCATTTTGTCACAGGTAAACCCAAATGTGCTGAGTTCAATGGAGAAGCAGAGGCGCAGAGAGGAAGAGGAGGAACGCCAAATCCTCATAGCAGTGCAGAAGAGGGAGCAAGAACAGCTGCTAAAGGAGGAGAGGAAGAGAGAGATGGAGGAGAAAGTCAAAGCAGTGGAAGGTACGTGCATGCGGCCAGTGTGAAGCAGGAGGGGAAGCTTTCAAAGCCGAGATTGAGATCTTGATCTGCCATTTGCATCCCTCCCCTGCCAGACCTGCTAACAGGAATATCTTTTCTGGCGCTTACCTTGGATAAGTTGGTCTGACGGCAACTTCTTTTGCTTTGTCTATCTCCCTTACTATTGGTGGCTGCTCTCTAGTGCATTCTTCAGCTGCGTTATCTTCAAACCATGCTTATTTTTCCCCTTGTCCCAGCTGGGGGTAGCAAGAGTAGTATTTTTATATTGCTATTGGCCTTACTATTTGGAGAACTAAAGATGAGGGGACCAAGCTAAATAGAGCGCCAGAGGTGCCAGCTTCAGGTGTTGGTCTTGTTTTTTCATGGTTTTGAATTAAATGCTGATTTAAGCTGTTCTGCAAGAAGCAGCTGTGTTGTGTTTAATATGATCAAGCCACAGACAGCAGGCATTCAGCCAGTACATGTAGGCACTGGTGTCTAAGAGCAGGCTCATTTCTGACCACCTTCTCTCTGCCAGTCTCCCTTATGGGGATTCCTTTATCTGCTGCTTTTGCTGCAGCGGCTGGCTGGGCTTTTGCCGTTCGTCTTCAAAAAGCTGTGGTGGTAATGTGTGGTGGTATCAGAATTGTGGATATTTAAATGGATAAAGAGTCCAAAAAGGAAAAAGGATTAAGTTCATGCAAACCTTGTAAACTTTCCAAGATGAAACCGTCTGCTACCAGATGTTTGCTAGCAGACCAGATGTTATCTAAGAATAGCTTCTTTTACCTGCTTACCTTTTTAACCTTTAGAAAATCCAATTACTTGCTTGGCCTCCATATAGTCCTGGTTGCCAGTCCTAGCTAATCCAGTGCTTTAAACTGAGAATCATCTAGCCTTCAATATCAGCCACATATATCTCTCTCACCTTGGCAAATTGCCTAGCCTCTGTGCTTTAACTCTCCATCTGTATAGACAATATTAATCTCAAAGTTCCAGAAGAGCCGCGAAGATAAATGTACCTGTAAAAAAATTCTTATTCTACTATAAGCCATGTCCTTTTCTGGGTAAATTCAGTCACTACATCATCTGGGTACAGTATTGTTTAACTTGCTCACCAATTACTTGGATGAAGGGATAGAATGCCTCCTCAAGTTTGCTGCAATACAAAACTGGTAGGAGTGGCTGATAGCCCAGAGTGCTGTGCTGTCATTCAGAAGGATCTAGACAGGCTGGACAGATGGGCAGAGAAATTCAACAAAGGCAAGTGCAGGGTCCTGCACCTCGTGATGAATAACTCCATGCACTATTACAGGCTGAGCCCTGACCTGCTGGAAAGGAGCTCTATGGTGAGGAACCTGGGGGTCCTTGTGGATGAGTTGTCCATGAGCCAGCCGTGTGCCTCTGTTTCCCACAAGGGCAATGGTATCCTGTGTCCATTAGGAAGAGCACTGCCAGCAGGTTGAGGGAGGTGATCCTCCCTCTCTACTCAGCCCTGGGGAGGCCTCTCTTGGAGTGCTGTGTCCAGTCGTGGCCTCCCCAGTACAAGAGACACAGAGCTCCTGGAGCAAGTCCAGCAAAGGGCTACTAGCGTGGTTAAGGGTCTGGAACATCTCTTGTATGAGGAAGAGCTGGGAAAGTTGGGTCTGTTCAGCCTGGAGGAGGCTCAGGGGCATCTAATAAATGTATACAAGTATCTGAAGGGCGGATGTTAAGAAGATGTATCCAAACTCTTCTTGGTGGTGCCAGGAGGTAGGACAAGAGGCAACAGGTATAAACTAAAACACAGGAAGTTTCACCTGAACATGAGATCAAACTCCTTTACTGTGAAGGTGGCTGAGCATTGGAATAGGGTTCCCAGAGAGGTTATGCGGTCTCCTTCCCTGGAGGTATTCAGGAGCTGTCAGGACACAATACTGAGCAATGTGCTGCAGGTGACCACGCTTGAGCGGGGAGGTAGGGCTGAATGACATCTGGTGGTCCCTTCCAACCTCAACCTTCTGTGATTCTGTGGTGATGCAAAGCCACCAGAGAGCCACTCAAAGAAACTGGCATGGGATTGGGCAATAAACTGTTTTAAGCTAATTTAGCTACATTCATGCTTTTCTTGGCAGACATGCTTTTATTTTGGTTTGTGCAATTCCAGTTTAGTTAAAATTTGTCCCTAGTCAGTTTAGGCTATGTCAGGAGAGTCCATTTCAAGCTGGTGCAAAAGCTGTTTGGAAAGGTTATATAAATAGCTGACTTGTTCAGTTAAGTCACTGCAGTATTTTTTTTTTCATCCCTAGATGAAACGGCAGCTCTCCAGGTAAAACTGGCCTCGTAGCCATCTTTCCTTATTGCCAAATACATCTGCCATTAACAGTTACTTCCCTGACAGTTCTTATGATGGACAGAAAGTGGTTAGGAAATGAAGTCATTATCTTGCTTGCATCAGACTTGTTAAAATTGGACATCCATTGACAGAGGTTTTAGGGTAGCAAAGATTTTCTGTATTTTGCAGTCTGTTTGGGATTTAACATTAATATTGTAAGGTGTTCTGCAGAGGGGAGATATAAAACACAAGGTGAAATATCTGCTCTCTGATGTACTTCATCAGCGCTTCACCTGCTTCCCTCTTTTGGACCGTGTGCTGTTTTTAGATCATGTTCCTGCTTCCACTCTGGGATTTCACTTCCCGCCAATGCACACCCCAAGTAGCAAACCTCCTGTGGGGCCCATCTATTTGTTCCTGAATTTATGAGTTAAGGCAGCTTTATAGATTCCTTCCACAACAGTGGGTTAGAGTTTCCCAGTTCTCTTCCCAGATGCTGCTCCAGCATTATCTCTTGCACATATGACTTTCTATCTGTTTTTAGGACAATGCTGAGATTTTGAAAGCTGCTGGGTAGGATTCAACCTAGGCCAACAGCATGGCAACAAGCTCTGCCAGTGATGTTTAACATGGTGTGTTAATCACCTGTTGTGTAGGGGGACCTGCCATTAATCCTGACTGAGCTCCAGTCTGGTACCAGGGTAGTGCTCCCTGATTCATGGCAGTTTATCAGACCAAATCCTTGGCAGGCCTTGATTATTTCTGAAATGTGCATCACCTTACCCTGTGGCTTCTGTTCCCATGAGATTTTCCTTTTGCTGCCCAAGTCATGCCCTCATGTCTTTCTCAGCTTTTTTACTTAAGCATCCATTACAGTGTCATCTAAGTGATGCTAATTTTACAAAAGAAGCATGAAATACTGAACTGTGCCTGGACAGATGCAGATGATCTCTTAACTGCAATTTAATCATAGAATAGTTTGGGTTGGAAAGGACCTTAAGATCATCCAGTTTCAACCCCCTGCCACGGGCAAGGTGCCATGGGCACACCTTACACAAGACCATGTCGTCCAAGGCTCTGTCCAGCCTGGCCTGGAACACTGCCAGGGATGGAGCATTTACCTTTTCTTTGAGCAGCCTGTTCCAGTGCCTCACCACCCTCACAGCAAAGAACTTCTTACTCATATCTAACCTGAACTTCTGTAGATGCAAGTCATGTCCTTCCAACTTCAATGGTACCCAGAGACTTCCAGTGGGAAATTTGGACTTTAATTTATTGATCTTTGACATATCTGGTCATGGACCTCCCTGGAAATATCCACCTTGTAGCTATTCCTAGTTTTCTTGTGCTCTCAACCCCCATCCCAAGTTTGGTTTTGACTGACAGAGTAAGACAGTAAATTAATACTCTTCCACCAGAGCTGGAGCTTGGGTCTTTTCCGTATTCCGAAGATGGAGCCTCTGCTAGAGGGTATTAGCCAAGTCTCCCCCATCTTTCTTTCACTCTTGAGTGTTCCCCAGCGTGGCCTTTTTTTCTGGGGTCTTACACCTATGACATCTCTCCTCGAGCATTATTTTCACAGAATTCTGCTCCTGCAGAAAGTTGGTACAACCACAGGTGTTTAGCAAGTCAAATGAATTCAGATTTCCTATAAGAGAAAGGAAATGAGGTTCATACGGGCCCATAAACGTTCTATTATGAAGCAATCTGTTAGCCAGCTGTCTGGTTGCAAACCACAGGTTATATTACCAGCATTGCTTCTTCCTGTCTCTCACCTCTTAAAAGCTGTCCCAGTGGCCCTCCTGTGTGGCAGCTTGCTCACGCTGGTTGCTGGCCATGAAGGCCTACCTGAGCAATCTGCCCAAAGCTAGCCACCATGGTGGAGGATATTAATGTTCCCAGTTTCTCATTGCCTCCCAGCTGGGAGAACTTCACCCTTCCCTCAGTACTGTTCTTCATCCACCTCAGTGTAAACCAGCTGCCTTGAGTTCACCTGCCTGAGGTGAAGCTTCTGAAGGATGATAACTTAGCAAGCCAGCTCTTTCCATAGCCCTGATCTATGCCTAGTTCTGTGCATTGAACACCTTTCTTTGTATCTCACCACAGTTGGGAATTTGTCTGGAAGATGCCATGGGAAGCATCTGTATCACAATAATGCTTCAGAATCAGTGATTTTAAAGTCAAGGGAAAATGAAGAGGCATGTTGATGGTGTGCTGTATTCTCACCTCCTCTGCTCCTGTGCTGTTGCTGCTTTTGCAGAAAGAGCAAGGACGTTTTACTGGCGTTCTTGAGAACTGCAGGATCTGCCTTTATTTTCCCTGCAAGATGACGTTGACAAGGAGTGATGAATGGTTTTGCACCTCTCCTCTTTCCCCACTGCAGAACGGGCCAGGAGGAGGAAGCTTCGTGAAGAGCGGGCCTGGCTGCTGGCGCAAGGGAAGGAGCTCCCCCCTGAGCTTTCTCACTTGGATCCCAGTTCCCCTACCAGGGAAGAGCGAAGGACCAAGGATCTGTGAGTATACAGCTGGGCATTGCAGCATGTGAATGTATTGAAGTAGTAAGTCTGTGAAGCAGAGGAGTCATTCACAGGAGTGAGGAGGAAGAAATGAGGTTGGAGATCAGCAAGGAGTACACTGAGAAACATCTGGGTTTGGTCCACGGTAGAGGAGTGTTTGTGATAAGGTCTATTTGTCAACTGGCATGCAACCCCGTGCACTGGCAGTGTGCACGGGGTGAAAATGAAGTACAAGAGCATGTCTCGTATTCACTTCAGTCTGCATATTCACTGTTGTTCTTCCCATTACAGCTTTGAACTTGATGATGAGTTCACAGCCATGTACAAAGGTTAGTCCTGCCCCAGCTTTCCCCTTTGCATGACTTGCTCAAACTGAAATGCTGCCCTGGGGGTGTGTGCATAATCTTTCACCTTTCTTTTGCCTACTGGCAGTTCTAGATGTGGTAAAGGCTCACAAGGACTCTTGGCCCTTCTTGGAACCTGTTGATGAATCGTATGCTCCCAACTACTACCAGATCATTAAGGTATGGAAGGTGGTCCAGCCATCTTGACTAATGCACTTTGTTGACTGGGATGCTGCCTTTTCTAAGTGTCAAGAAGTTTTGTGGGCTATGTTACCCTCGGAAGTCAAACTACATGCATGATGCCAGTAGTCCCTTCTAAACCTTACAAATCAAGGAAACCAAAGATGAGAGGCTACCTCTTTCAAGAGAGCAGACTCCACTCTCCTTTCCCCTTACATGAGGAAGCTAGCTATGCAACTTTGTAAGCCCCACTGCGCTTGCTGTAACTGAAGGGAGGTTTTGTTGCATTTCAGGCCCCCATGGACATCTCTAGCATGGAGAAGAAGTTGAATGGAGGTCAGTACTGTACCAAGGAAGAATTTGTGGGCGATATGAAGACCATGTTCAGGAACTGTCTTAAGTACAATGGTGAAGGCAGTGGTAAGAGCAGTAAGATGCTAAGTTTGTCTATTTGCAGTGCTCAGTTAAAGCAAGTAAGCAGTGATCTTTTCCTACTCACCAGCACTTGATTTGTGCTCATTCACTTTCAGGGTATTTTTGGAAGGCTGAACAAAAGAGTTGGAGCCCCTGAGTAAAAAGGCCTGGGGTTTTAGTGAGGTTTTTAGCACAATTTGGTCATGCCAAACTGGGTCATGGCACACTAAGGGGCTCCATATTGGTAGAGGGTGAAGACAGAATATACAAAGAGAAGATAGTCTGTTTCTTTCTGAGCTCATTCCTTCATGTGCCTGTGTGTATACATGTGCCTTTCTTTCTCATAATACCTAACACAGACTTTGAAAAGCATTGGAGTCTGGAGTGTGGCTAGCTCCCAGGTTTTGTTGAGTACCACAGAAAAGTGAGGAATGAACCACAGTTGTAGTCCTTGGGATGGAAAAATGTAGGTTTTGGATTCCTTTACTACTGAGTGAATAAAATGAGTCTGCAAATGGGAAGCCCTGGGTTTAACTGCTATGCCAATTAAAATTCTATGTGTCGCTTAGGTAAAAAGTCAGTTCCCATATGGTGGGTCATCACTGCAGACTGTGTCTCACTAGCACCGCCTTGAAAGGGAAAATACGTAGAGCTACCCAGCTTGTTGCTGTGGGCCCCAGGTAAAAGCATTCCTGCACTGCCACTGGGAGAGCTCTGTTTCCCGAGGAACTCCAGGGTTAGTTTGGTGGAAATAACTGGAAAGTCATTTGCCTCAAGCCCTTGTCATTAATACCTCTCACATCTCTATTCCTTCCTGTCCATTCCGATGAAAAGTAAGAGCCCCTCTGAGCAGAACTGTCCTTGTAAATGATGCAACAGGGACACTGGTATTGGCAACAGTTTTTGTGTCGGGGTCAGCAAGTGCTTTAGAAACTGTACATAGATAAATATATTTGCTCATTTTTCTCTGTCCTGTAGCATACATCAGAGATTTGAACAAGTCCAAGAAAAGCCTCTGAATGTAATCAAAGTGCATTGCTGGAAATTCACATTTCTTCTCTCAGCACTCTGTTGGCTAACTGTGCAGGTCACACATCTCTGCAAGCAGAGGTGGTGCTTCTCATAATGTAATTCTTGGCACTATGCTGGAACACTGAGTTAATGCTGACTCTGCAGGCTGTGCTGCTAATGGTACTTTGTCATGCCTGTGTGCCTGTCCTCTGGTGGGGTTACTGAACAAATCTGGTGCTGTGTTGCTTATCAAGTTTGAGAACATAAACCAAAGTTGACTAGCTAGAAACAAAAGTCTTCCTCGAAGAAACTTGGTGGAGGGGAGGTGATTTATCTGATGGGGAAAGTCAGATTCTACTTAATTGCTTTTCTCTGTAAGCCTCTGTCCCTGATGTTGTTGGGGTTTTTTGACTGCAGAATATACCAAGATGGCTTACAACTTAGAGAGGTGTTTCCACCGAGCAATGATGAAGCACTTCCCTGGGGAAGATGGAGACACAGATGAGGAGTTTTGGATCAGAGAAGATGGGAGACGAGAGAAGAGGAGCAGGCGGACTGGCCGCTCCAGCACAGGCAATGTTTGGACTCGGTCTCGAGACCCAGATGGAGCAGGGAAAAGGCAGCAACGCCTGGAAAATGGAGGAAAACCTCCACCATATCGAGCTGCTTCCAGGGCTCCTGCTTCTTCCTCCTCTTCCTCTTCATCCTCCTTCTCCTCGTCCTCTGCAGACGATCAGAGTGGCAACCCACTGCAGCCTCCTCGAGAAGTGGGTCCTTCCAATGGGAGAGGTTTCCCTCGCTCTCTGCAGTATGGCGGCATGCCCAGCCCTGTACCACATCCCGGACAGATGGTAAGGAGCAGGCTCTGCTGTTCTTTACCCATCAAGCCTGTGGAGGGGGGGAAATAAAGGGGAATGGAACTCTTGACTGTGAAATCCCTCCTGTGTCACAATAACCTTTCCCCAGAGATTAAGGGTCAGGGCTATGGTTTCTAGCCCCTAGATTTAAACTGGTACAGCTTCAGTTTTTGCCACAGGAGCTAGGGACAATCTTATGATGCTTCTCAAAACCAGCAAGTCCCTATGTGGGCTTGCGCCGGCCCTGGCTCCCCCAGTTCTCTCCTTGGAGAGTTACCCCATTGTGCATGGAAAGCAGTTGTATTTCCTTTCTTAACCTCCAGTTTTATGATGCTCAACAAGCCAGTCTTCTTTTGTCTCAGTTGCTTACAGATGCCTGATAGCTTTGTGCCATCTGTGTGTATTTCGTGCCTTGAGTATTTATAAAAGCAGTAAATGAAACCAAACACAAGGCCACCCTGGACAGCAGCAGTGACCTCCTTTTAACCCATTTCTTCTCTGAATGCCACCTGTTCTGCCTCCCCTTTGGGCTGTTCCTCGCCCATCTTTCACTGCCTTTTCCACTGCAACTAGCAATGTCCTGTGGGTGCGGTGTATCATCTGCTTCTCTGAGATCCAGGCTACCCTTCATCCTTTTAGAGCAATTCTTATGATGCAGACAGTGGGAGGCAGTAGGAGAGCTGGAAGCAACAAGCATTGTGAAGGAAATCCAGCACGTTCATTTACCCCATTGACCTGCTTGCTTACTCTTGTACGGTCCTCAGAGTGAACCACTGCCCCCTCCAGTCTTCTTGCTTGCTCCTAAGTAGTTGGGTGACAAGTGTGTGTACTGCAACCTTGAGCTCAGGAATATATGGATGGGGAGTGAGAGAGTGACTTTGGCAGGAGGGCTGTGTGTCACCTTGTAGAAAAGAGACCACAGGTTTTTCATGTATACCTCCAAAAAGCTCATCTGCTCCTGTGGTTACTCCAGCCTTGGCTTCCCCCTGCCTGCAGCAGCTCTGCAGTTTTTCTGTGGTCCACAAACCGTTTCATTGCTCCCTCCTGCACCTCTCCTTGTCCCCCAGAGACCAGCTGTGCCAGGAACGTTTGGTCCCCTGCATGGATCGGATCCCACCAAACTGTACGGCTCACCGCGAGTGCCTGAGCCCCATCCTGGAGACCCAGTCCAGCAGCACCAGCACTTCTCCATGCAGGTAAGAACCACTACAGCCAAGGGATCCAGTACCCCAGGCCCTGCTGGATGGCTCTCACTGAGAACCCCTCATCTCTTTCTCCCTCCTCCCCAGCCGGCCGTGGGACTGAGCGAGCACCGCGGGCACAGGCTGGCAGCCCCAGAGAAGCAGGCATGCGCAGGACCGACCCACGTCTCTGGCCTCAGCCCCCGGCCAGGCGCCCTGCAGCTGGGGCGCATGAGCGGCCCCCCGCCAGACGCTGTGTACCCACCAGCCCAGTTCCAGCAGGGCTTCCTTCCCCCGAGGCATAACGGGCCCCCCATGAGGCCGCCGGAGGGCTCGGAGGTCCCCCCAGGGCACATGTACCGGCCCTACAAGTACCTGAACCGCTCACACCCAGCCCTATGGAACGGCAGCCACGGCCCCACCGCCCAGGGCACTGTGGGGCCAGAGGAGAAGGCGCCCATGGGGCCGGGGCCCTCTCTCCAGCCCCGCACCCTGGGTCATATGATGGACCCGCGGTCCATGAGGCCACCACTGCCTCCCAGCCAGTGGACTGAGCAATCCAATTTCCTACCTCACGGGGTGCCTCCCTCAGGATATATCAGACCGCCCGGGAAAGCCGCAGGGCAGAGGATGCCACAGCCACCAGCTGCTCTGTTTGGGGGACCGCCCCAGGTTCAGAGGGGGAGCCAGGGCGGGGAGTCCATGATGGACAGCCCAGAGATGATCGCCATGCAGCAGCTGTCCTCCCGCGTGTGCCCGCCGGGTGTGCCTTACCACCCTCGCCAGCCGCCGCCGCCGCACCTCCCCGGGCCCTTCCCGCAGCTGGCTCACGCTGCCTCCGCCGCCAGCGTGCAGCCCCCAAAGCCTGCCGTGGGCAATGGGGGCTCACAGGATCCCACCGCACAGAGCATGGAGATGGACAGCAACCAAGGTAACCTCTCCAGTGACCTTCCGGCCTGTATCTGTTGCCCCGCTCACTGACACGCATTCCTCCCACCTGCTGGACAGTGCAACCATTTCCCATTCCGTGCTGGTGTGCGGTTGTGGGGAGCAGGCAGGAGCACCCTCAGACTGGATTTGTTGCTCTTGGGCTCCAAATTTCTAGGGATCCAAACCTTGACTGTCATACAGATGTGCTGTGCTGCAAATGTGGCTTTATTTGGACTTGTGCTCCTAGAGAAGTGGAGAATATGCCCTGATCTTCAGGCTTGCCAGAGTCAGTTTTAAGCAGTGGCTGAAGCTCAGCAACAAAAGCAGGGTTTTCTTTTCTAGAAAATAATTAAAATGTTGATTAAATAAAATCCCAGAATCACAGACTGTTTTGGGTTGGAAGGAACCTTAAAGATCACCCAGTTCCAACGCCCCTGCCGTGCGCAGGGACACCTTCCGCTAGACCAGGTTGTTCAAAGCCCTGTCCAACCTGGCCTTGAGCATCACTAGGGATGGAGCATTCAGTTTTTACATGTGTGTATTTCTTTAATCTGAATTGGAATATATTTCCTACTCCAGCCATCGCTTAGACTTTCTAAGATTGTTTTGTTTCACTGTAGCTTGCCAGGGGTCCCCTCTGTCCCAGCTGTACCTGCAAGCTATCAGTTTGCCTTGGGGTGCAAATGCAAAGCATAGGCTGTGGTGCTTCTAGAGCTCACTTGGAATTAATATAAAAATGGGATCTACAGAGAGTTAGGTAAGAAAAGAAGATATTATGTGAATAAATGGTTTAAATATACTTCTTTGAGTATGGCTTCTCCACAGCAGCTGTGTCGGTTCAGGTGGGACGGCAGTGTGTCACGTGCACCATCACAAGTTTCTCTCTAGTTGAATTTCATTCTAGCTGGTAAACTAGAGATCAAAAAAAGCCCAACTTAAAAATAAACCAAACCTAAAGCAGAGATCAAAAAACCCCAGAGATCAAAAAAAAATTTTCTTTTCATTAATTCTAGCTGGTAAACTAGAGATCAAAACCCTTGCATCTTTTATGGATCCCTCGTGTGCCTTGCGCTAGGAGCAAACTCTTTCCTTGTGTGGCATTGCTTAAAAGTCATCATCATTTAACTGTGCTGGATATAGAACAGAGACTGGGGGAGGACGTTGAGTGATTGCAGGGCAGAGCAGTCGCATCTCCAAATCACAGTTGGTTAAAATATGGCTGCAATTGGCTTTGCAGCATCTTGGTTGTGGTAGTGCTTCTGCCACGCTGTGGGCAAGTGGGGTTTGTGGACCAGAAGGGGCAACACAGCCTGAAATCAAGCTGCTGTTACTCCAGATTCTTATCTTGCTGTTATGTGGACCCCACAGCGGTATTTCCCAATTCTGCCTCTCTGTTAGGCAGCCTCTGCACGCCCCTGTGTCAGACTAAATCCACGTGTGCAGTGTTACTCCAATGGACGCGTGACTTACTTGCAAACTACGGCATGCCTGTATCTTGAGAGTTCAGTCCACATGTGCTATCTTCTTCCAAGAGAGGTGCAGCCTCACAAGTAGTTTTTAAAAGAGTTCTTTGAAATGGAACAGCTGCTAAAGGTCACCTACCTCTGCGAAAATGCACTTCAGAATTGCTAAAGGTCTCTGAAGGGAAGGTGGGTGTGGGAGGGAGGCCCTGCAGAAGAGCAGCTGTCCTGATGCCATGCTCCAGCAGTCCTGTAGAGAGGCAGAGTAGAAGGTGGAACTTTATAGGCTTTTGAGTGCGTACAGTGTAAGGACCTTCATGGCTTTAGAAGGTCGCCCGTTTTTCTCATGCATTTGCAATGAAGTGTTAGGGACACCTTGGACAGAGCTGCCCAGCAGCTTGGGTTAGCAACAGCAGAGGATGCTGAGAGGCTATTTTAGTACACCTGGTTAAGCTGGCAGGAATTAATCTTTGGCGTGTGTGCTTTGGGGGAGTGTGAGTAGGTGTGTGCATGTGCTGGGCTGGGAGGGCCATTTTCTGAAGTTAGACCAATGTGTGACTTTTTCTTCCTCCCTTCCAGTAGAGCCACCAGCAGGCATGGACGAGAAGGCTCAGTGCATTGGCATTCCCGACGGAGCCTACGCCAAACTCCTACCTCATCCCAAGCCCCCACTGCCCATGGAGTGCACCAGGCACGCCTTGCCCCCAGATGGGGAGGGAGATGGTTCCAGTGTGAAGGGCGACCTGAAGGCCGGACAGGGCAAGGGCTCGTGGCCGGCGGAGAGCAGCTATGCCAGTGGCCCAGGCTGTGTGAGGGACCTGGTGCACACCTCTGAGAGAGGCGGTACGCTCCCTGAGAATGGGGCAGCGGGCGAGGGGCCAGCATCTGATGCCGAGGGGAAGGGGCTCGCTGCCAACCTGCTGGAGAAGCCCCTCTGTGGTGGGGGGAAGGCTCTGCCTGAAGCAGCTGTACCTTGCATGGGACAGGGCACTGGCCTCCCTGGCATGGATGCCAGCTCCATGGGAGCTTCCCCCAACCAGTTCCACCCTCTCTACATGCCTGGTCTGGAATACCCAAATTCAGCTGGGCGTTACCACATCAACCCAGGCTTGCAGGGGTTCGGTCCCATGATGGGGGGGAAGCCTCCTCCTCCTGCCTCCCACCCTCAGCATTTTCCTCCACGGGGTTTCCAGCCAAGCAGTGCCCACCCTGGCATCTTCCCCCGGTATCGGCCCCCCCAGGGCATGCCCTACCCCTACCAGCCACAGCCTCAACCTTCCTACCACCACTACCAGCGACCGCCCTACTATGCCTGTCCGCAGGGCTACTCGGACTGGCAGAGGCCTCTCCATCCCCAGGCCAGCCCCAGCGGGCATCCCACTGCCCATCCATCCCTGGCCAGACCCCTTTTCCCGGACCGGGGGTCCACCAGTGGCTTGCAGGGCTGCGAGGCGCTGAGCGCTGCCCTGGCCTCTCCCAACCGCATGGACATAGCGAGTGCCAAAGAGGTTTCTCCAAGCGATGGGCAGGATCTGGGGCCTGAAGATGAGAAGTCCGAGGAGTCCCAGGAAAGACCAGAGAGTCCCAAAGAGTTTCTTGATTTGGACAACCACAATGCAGCCACAAAGAGGCAGAGCTCGGTGGCAGCAGGGGAGTTCCTCTACGGAGCCCCACCACCACACCTGGGCTCAGGGATGGGATTCGGCCCATCAGCTTTCCCTCCCCATGGGGTGATGCTACAGACTGGCTCTCCTTATGCATCCCGGCATCCCGCCAGTCATTTCCAGCCCAGGACATATGGATCGCCCATGAATGCTCACCTATCTCATCATCCGGTCTCTAGCCAGACTAACGGCCTCTCTCAGGAGGGACCCCTGTACCGCTGCCGAGAGGAGAACGTAGGTCACTTTCAGGCCTTGCTGATGGAGCAGAGAGGCAGTGGAAGTGGCATGGGGGGGCCACCCCAGGACTTGTATAGACCCTCGGGGTAAGATCGTGTTTTCTGCGAGAAGGCAAGGTGGGAGGGGGGTGAAGCCCTGTGATGATAAGTGTTGGATATCCTTGAAAGGATAATGCTTGAAGTCAGGGGAGATGGCAAGCAAAGTTGAAAGGCTAACTGGTGACTGTTAGACCTTTGGAGTGCGAGGTCTCTTAAGCTGGAGAGAGTCTCGTACAACTCCTTAAAAACAAGTGGCAATTGCTAACATGGAGACCAGTTAACCTGTCCCATCCATCCCCACACCAGTGCTTTGTTTTATCTGTCAGTGTTTGTTAATGCATTATTCAGGGTTGTGCATCTCCTAATCAAATGGACTCTTGCCTTTATCTTTGCGAGTATTTTATCACATCTTTCTCATAGTGGGGCAGAGTAGCTAACTAAAGTAGAAGTTAGCCTCTTGTTATGAATCCCTTTACTTAAGTAATGTTGCTCCCTTTTTCTCCCCTCCTCTTGCTTTGTCCTTCCTCTCTGTCTCAAATTTCCCTGACAGATAATTACTTCTCACTGAGACTGTGCGTATCACATTTTATTCCTACGTGGAAAACTGCGCTACTCCAAAAATTCCCTGTTCAGATTTTATAAATATGATTCCACTGTTAAAGCTTTGTCAAAGTCCTGGCATGACAGTCCTCCATCTAGTATTCAGGGAGCTTGGCTTGCAACTAAGCCACTGGGAGGGTGGCATGGATTAAAGGTTGTGTTTTGGGGGAAGCCAGAAAGAAGTTTACACAAGGTGCATGCTTGTATGTGAATGTTTTATGTATGCTTTCAATGAAGTAATGGGATTTGCTCTTGAGTTCATGTGCTAAAACTCTCTCTATTCAACCTGGCTCCAGAATGCAAATGCATCAGGCTCAAGTTCCCTTCCCAAAGATGCCTACAGCAACCATGTCCCGGGAAGATTTGACATCACAAAAACCATCAGCATTGCCTCTGGATCAAGTAAGGGCTGCTAGAGAGAGTAGAGTTCACATACAAGTCTTTCCCTTCCCACTGGTTAAAAGAGAAGTGTTTGATGAAGTGGGAAGCACTGGGGGAAGCTGGGAAGTGAACTAGTGCTATGTAGAGGAGTTGGGGATGTCTCTATGGTCTCAGCTGGTTGTAAAATGTAATCTAGGTGTTCCAATAGTGCTAGCTTTGAACTGGTTGCATGCAGTCATGAGGTTATTCCTTTCTAAAGCTGCCAGTTAAAGCCTCCAACTCTTGTTCTTCCTCTTCCAGAGCTAGTCCGAGGAAGGAAGGACCTCATGAAGACGAAAGCCACGCACGATTTGGACAAGGGGGAGGAGGGGCAGGCCTTCCTCCCACCTCCCCTGACCCGAGCAGCATGTAGCTTCCTGGATGCATGGAACACAGTGCTGCGATGGCTTTTGTGTTGGGAACCTGGAGCGGTGCTGGGCCCCAGCCAGCCGAGCAGCTGGCTCGCCACCACAGGGCGAGCATCACACTCTGGTGGCTTTCCGTGACCGGAGACTGCGTCTCATTCAGGGTTTGAGGGATTTTTGGGGTGGGGGGAGGGCAGGGGTGGGGGCAGAAATGTTCATTGACTGCTAAACTCAGGTATATTTTTCAGGGTGGAAGAGGACGATGATGGAATTTTACTTGTAGTATTAACATGTGTGTTTTGGAGCTGGATCCAGTTTACAGAATTTAACCTGTTGCCTTTTTAAATAAATTTCTGTTGTTGGTGAATGTATTGTACATAATGGGGGAGGGGGTGGGCCCAGCTTGTAGTGGGCTTAGCACTGGAGGAATCCTTAACTGTTTACAATCATATCACACTGAAATCTTTCAGGATACAGTGAGGGTCTGGGGGGAGAGGGGAGGGAATGAATGATGGATGACTTGCTGTCCTCCTTCCTGTCCTCTGCAACCGAGATATGACCCAATGGTTGGTTGACTTAGTAGCAGGAATTGCTCAGGAGCATAATGTGTCCTCCTCTTTCTCTTGTCTTCTTCCTCCTTCTCTTCTCACCCCCACCTCTGCCCCTCTGGATCCAGGGCCTGAGTGCACTTCCAGCTCCTGTCAGCATGGGGGAACAAGGAAACCAGGACCAGGAATTGAAACCAGAATGGGACGCTCAGGGCATCGTCCCTTCTGCTAGTATAGTACCCTTTCTGCCTTTCTGATAGGAGAAATTTGTGCTCTGGAAAACAGAAAGTGGTCATCTTAGCCTATTTTTGGTGAAACCAATGCAGCTGCTGGTGGAGTGGCACCTGTCCAGTAGAACAAACTGTGCAAATCTGTAGTGCCCTGCTGCCCAAGGGCAGGAGCCAAGTTCTTTCTCTGACCCTTGGCTATATTCACTTCTTAGCAGCTGCAAAGCAGGCAGTACCCCAGTGTTCCTGACCACTCTCAGTTCCTGTGGAGGAAGAGCATGAGGCTGCTTTAGTGGAATGGAATTGTTGGTTTAATGCAATGTGAGCCATTTGTTGGCCTGTGGAGTTGGATTTGGCATTTGCAAGTTGCAGGTGAATCAGAAAACACTGATTCCAAATCAGATGTTGAGGTTGCATGTCTCAGAGGTTGAGGGATGAGAGGGCAGTATGCTAGAGTTGAGTTGGTTTAACTTTGTCATCACTGATAGGTAGCAGCAGGTCCTACAGGGCTAGTGGCAGCTTCACTTGGCTGCATGTATTCTGTAGGGGCTTTCCTCTTGTACTGGTTGCAGTACTTTGTCAGCCACTGGTGTTCAAAGGCAGGTTTAGCAAATAAATTCAGTAGGAATCTCATCTGCATTTATTCACACCTTAAAGCTAACAGGCAAACAGATTTGATAACTCTTGGGGGAGCTGGGGTAAAACAGGGGAGTCTCTACATTACAAGGCAGGGCAGCAAGATCTGCTGGGACCATAGCCCTAGTGGGCAGGCTGCTGGTTGCACTGAGGGGTACAGGGGTATGGTTAAAGGGAGGATGTACTGATGTGTTGGACAAATCATGCCAGCAAGAGCACTAGAAGTGAGGACAGAGCAATGTGCCCTTTAGTCTGTGCTACCAGCTAGGAGAGGGTCTTTGGAAGTTTCTGGAGAATTTTTCTGGCTGCTTTGTTGTCTTGGATGGTGCTATCACCTCTATCTTCAGCTGGATTGCACTGGCATGCATGACTGTACTGCCTTTGTCCTGCTGTATAGATCTACCATGTGCTGGCAAAGCTGCTTGAGCAAATGTCAGGTAGCATCTCACTGAGCCATTATCCTTCTGTCCTAAGCTCTTATAAGCACAAAAATCCTAAAAGATGAGAACATTTCTCTCTTAAAATAATTAGAACAGGGAAGGGCCGCCACATTAATGCCCTCTTACCAATAACTTCCACTGCTCTGTTGCTACAGTACTTTTGCCTCTGAGGTGTGCAGGGCCAAGGCATTTTCCAAGCCTAACAGGAGTTAAACTTCTTCATGCTATTCCCTCAAGTGTGATTATAAATGCAGTTCTTGTTACTCACTGCTGCTGCTAGCCTGTGAGCTATAGCTGCTGTCTGCTTAGAACCTCCAGTTGCCTGGGACAGCTGGTCCCTCAACAAAGGAAGACTTCAATATAATGTGAATCACTTACAATGCCTATCTATAGATGCCATTACAAAAGGGAGATTTTTTGGGGGGTGTATTTCTTTTTTCCTTTTCATTTGTGCTGATCTGTCAAGAAGCAATTGTCACTGATGGATTGGTGTAAACTGGAATAGATGATCCTGAAGGTTGTCCATTGACTGAGAACCAGGTAGCTGCTCTCCCTAGCCAAGAACATTGTGCTATGGCTCATCTGAAATAGTCCTAGATCTGAGGGTCTGCTGCTGGCTCATCAGCTGGCAGTGGGTTTTCAGAGGTGCCCAAGCTGCTCTGAAATGCAGGCCTAGATCTCCTACTGAAGGGAGATACTGAAGCAGTTGCAGGTATATATGAAAAACACCAAGTGTAGCAGCTCTTCAAGACAATAAACCTGAGACAAAGGAAAACACAGTTGCTTCTCCTTGTAAAGCAATCTTTAGTTCATTGTAGGTATAAAAAGGATTGGAAATAGCACACTTAAAAATAGAGGAACTGTAAAATGTAACTTGTAGCAAAGTATTTGAAATTCTGGAAATGTGAATGTAGATTCTTCCATCCACCCCTGCTGTACTTCAGCCTGTGTCTTCTGTCTCATTACCCAAATATTTGAAGTGCCTTTCATTCAGCTTGTTGTGAACTTTGTGAAACAGGAGGTTTTTAGAAGCTACAAAAAAAAAAAACAACTAAGCAAGCTGAAGCACTGTTGGCCTTCAGCTGGAACTGGCACTGAAATCATGGTTCCTAGCGGGCATGGTATCTGGATGAGTACCAAGCCCAGATCAAAACAGGGAACAAATAAGAACAATAATTACTTGTGGTCTGCTTGGAGAGCATAGTGGAGTGTTGGACAGTGACAGATACCCTGAGGATCTTATGTGGAGTGTGTGACATGAAGATATTATCCCTTACCTGATATAATGCAAATCTGGGAGAAGGGTTTAACTTGTGGATGGTAGACAAAACGGATTAGTGACTGACTCCTTTTGGGAGGGTTTCTAGGTAAATGGCTTTTGATGTAGTCAGTAATTCTTATTAAAGTGACTAACAAGCTGCTGTTGTAAGGACACATGGTTTATATTAGAAAAGTACTAATATAGCCTAGGGGAACTATGGCTGGGCTACAGGGATAAGGGCTATCCTGGGGACAGGACACAGTAAGGTAGAGAGCTGCCTGTGGAATCTTAGCTCAGAGTTTCCAGACTTGCAAATGCTTTGTTCATAAGTGTTTGGGATTTTCTTCTTTTGTGGTGATATTTAGGGATCCCCCTAAAATCAGAGCTCTATCTCACTAGGTACATACAATCTGAGTAAATCAGAGAAAATTGGCCCCCCCTCAGAGGGCACAGAGCAGATTGCCGGTGTGGAAACACGTGTGGAGCAGCAGAAAACATCAGTTTTATAGTTTATGGTTTCCCATCCCATGCTGCACAGGCCTGCTTTGTGGATATTGTGAAAGACACTGGTTTAAAGAGGGATCTATAAGAGAGCAAAATGGCAGTTCTTTATATGCCAAGGGTTGGCATGCAGCGCAGGAGAAATGTATCTGCATTTTAAAACATCCTAGGTTTTGAATGCCATACTAGTGTCCCTATCTTACATAATATTTTAACACAATTAGGAACTTCCAGACTCTGGTTGGAAGCCCTCTTTCTCATCCCCCAGCATTGCTGTAGTATGATATATACCAGTCGATCCTTTTTCAGAAGGCATCCTGAGCTAGCAACTTTGCAGAGTTTCCTGTAGCTATTACTTTTCCCGTACAGAGGATGTGTTTTGCTATAATTACAGATTTCATCTTAAACTTAAGACTATACCGTGCATACAACAATGATGCTGACCATGCTTGAGCATGACAAAGATTTCCAGTATTCTCAAAAAAGCTTTGTATGCTACTCTGGATTTTTAGCCTCTTGTTCTCCCCACCACCTCCTCCTTCACAAGTGGTGTGTGGTGTTCCCAAGCTCCTGAGATGCTCAATTGCCGCTTGTAAATGTCACTGTATAAACTCCCTCTGGGACTCTGGAAGCTTTGGGCATCTGAAGGACTGCAGGCCCTGCAATTCAGCTAAGCCTTTTAAGAAGGCCAGTCACTTGAGGCTTTGCAGTGATTTTTAGCTGTGTCTAGCAGAAGTTTGCAGTCTATAAATTCCATGGTGTGACCCACCAAACCACTTGGTAGCAATCCAAGGCACCAGCCTGCAATGAGGACGACAAAAGAGGAAAGTAAATTTGAAGCTTCAAGGCCCAACTGGTTTGATTTGCGACTTTAAAGTACATGGAGACACTTTTCTTGGAAGAGCTTCTGATTCTTTCTCATCCGCCAAATGCCTTTCCCATGCAGACTTTCTGAAACTAATCTCCTGTGTATATTTTTGTAAGTGTGGTTTCTCGGGGTCTTGGAGAGCTATCAGCTTCTTGATGTCTTATCTGAAAGCTAGTCACAGAGGCTGTCTTTCATTCTGCTGACTGAGGCAGTTCTCCTGCAGCTTCTCACCCCAACGCTTCTCCATTTAAAATGAAAGTATAATGAGAAAACAACCTTCCTTTATTCCCTCTACTGATCTCTGACAGTCTTCTGTGCATCTCTGTGTTCAGCCAGGGCAGTTGCTTTGCTCTTGATGGCTTTGTTCTGTTTTCCCTTTCCAAGGGGATAGTGCTGCAATATGCATTGTGGAATTCCTCAGAAGGTGCCAAACTGAGTGACAGGGAAGTACCATCCCAAGGGGTGGCTCAGAGAAGACAAACAGGGGGATTTGTGATGGTATGGTTGCTCCCGGTTCCATGCAACTACATCTGTGCTTAATCAGGGCAACCCCTCAAAAAGTTGTCACTGCAGTTCAATGGTGGTAAAGGAGTTTGCTCTTGCAGAATTCCTGCTGTAAGTCCATGCTGGTGGTTGAAGGGCAGGTGTGTGAGTGCCGTATCCTTTCTGTAAGGCTGAGATGGAGACAGCAGGCTGGAAAAGTAGTGCAGCTGCAGGCCATGTGACAAGCATCAAGGGCGGGTGCTCATTGTAACTGAGAAAGCATCTCAAACATTGACCTTCCAGCCTTTCCCCATCTGTACCTGTTTAACATACAGATGGGGGTAAAGGACATTTGGGCTTGGCAGGACCCCTGCCGCCCATGCGGAAGTAAAAAGCTTTTAGCCAGCACATAATGAACTACGCATCCTGGTTTTCACTCCCTGCTGCCCACCTCCCTCTGAAAAAGATCTGGGGAGGGACCAGTTTCCAGCTGTCTCCAAAGAGGAGCTGCTGGGATGACAAGAGCAAGGCTTGCTCCACCCCTAGGAGATTCAGGACAAGGTTTCATGTGTTTGAAACTAGATAGCAACGTACAAGTGTACCTTCGAAGTGCAGGTGTAGTGAGCTGCATGGTGCTGTTCTGGTTTTGGTTACTGTCCTATCCTAGCTCACATGCAGTGTGTGAGAGACCATGAAGCGTTTTGTAGTTTTAACACTGCTGGCCTGGCATCAGTTGAGGGTTTTTTTCCCTTTATTTGCAGCAGTGCCCTAAATTTGTTTCGGCAACAGTCTTCCTGTGTTTGAAATGTGGATGTCAAAGTGGACAGTGTGTCCAGGAGAGAGCAAGAGTTACATCCACCAGTGGAAGAGGGGAGGAAGGATTCATTAGGGTTAGGGATTAATTGGGATTTCACCAACTCTAGTGAGTCCCTCTGTCCTTTGCCCCTTCCATTTGGAAACACTTGGCTCGCTAGCAGAAGGGCAGTAAGTGGTATATCTTCTAAATAAAAGTAGAACTGACTCCCTGTGGGCAAAATTTCCTTGCTGTGGATAAAGGTAGACCAAACACCCAATAGGGACTCATTTGGCCTTCAAGTCAGTAAGAGGAAAGCAGACACCTATTGCACTCAAACACTGTGGAGCACATCAGAGGAGCAACCTCCCTTTCTGAAGCCAACCAGGCAGCTACAAGAGCTCAGTGCTCAACTCTTAGTCTGGAAAATCCTCTGATCCCCTTTTGTGTCACATGCCAGCACTTCCTCTCTCCTCCCTTTCCTAGCTTTCAAGTTTCTTTCTCTCTGCTCACTTTGCTACAGTTGGTTACTGTCAGAGATGAAAGCTCACTGCCCATGTGAGTAGAAGGGCAGGAGGTTGAACTTGGCAGCTGTCTCCATAAGGCAGGCAGGTGGGGAGTACGCGTTTTCTCTCCTCATGGAATTAAGGTGTCCCCAGTGGCTCACTGTTGTTCTCTCGCATGCCCCTGCGGTTTGCCATCCTGGCGTGGTGGTGCCTGTCCTTCTGCCAGCATGAGGGTTTGCTTCTGGCCTCTGTGCAGGGCTCCTGCGTGTGATCCTGGTCTGTCTACCTCTAGCGGGGCTTAGGTTTAAAACACATACTGTGTACAACCATGAAAGCTGTTGCCTCTCCTCCTGGATAGATCAACGAACACAGCTGCATGATGTTTTTCTGAGCAGTAATAATGTGCAGCAGTGTAACTTGACTTTCCAATATTGTTTCAGGGAGCAAACGGCTGTGAAACACACTGGGGGGCTTTACTCTTTGAGTGGGAAACAAGGTGCTCTTGGTGGCCCTGCATCTTATCTACACCACATTCCTGCTTTCCCAGCAGCTGTTGGGTTTATTTAGGTGGCCGGGAGAGAGCTGGTTGCTGCTTCTGTGTTTGGGAAGGTAGAAAGGGAAATCGAAAGTTGAAGTTCATCCTCGTCCACAAAGCCAAGCGCATGGAAGAAGGGTGTCTGCTGCTGCCACAGAGGGAAGGGTGGGTAGACTGCTGACTTAATGCCTCTGGGGCAGGAGAGTGACCCGTTGCTGCTTCATTTGGCACTGATGGGGCAGGTAGCAGGAGAGCCTATACCACTACGTTCATTTTTATTGAAGTTGGGTGATGTTGGGGTTTTTTTGTATTATTGTAAGTTTGTAAAGAATGTAATCTGTCTGTTGGGGGCACAAGGAGAAAACGGGGGCCTTTCTCTTGTCGGGTGAGGCTGTTCTTATGTTGCTGTGTTTTTTGGTTTGGGGCGGGGAGGGGGTTCGCAGCTATTTGGGCAAAAGCCTGCAAAAGCATTGTCAAATGCTTGCCACTGTCCCAGGACAGCCAGAGGGTGAGCTAATGCTGTGGCATTAGCTGTGAAAATGCCCCCTGCCTGCAACCCTCAGTGGGGGGAATCTGACCTGCAAGGGGCTCTGCACTGGGGTGTTTGGTGGGGTGGTGGGATGTAACACTCATGGTCCTGCTCATCTGAATACAGAGCTGTATGGCTGCCCATGCTGTTTAGGAAGGGTTGGGTTTGATAGCCTGAGTTTCTCAGTGCAAGAAGGAGTTTGTGCTGGAGTTGCTCTCCCCAGCAGGGGCTGAGGTGCTGCACCTCTCCATCCATCGCCTGCTGCCCGGCAGCCCTGCCCCTGCCTCCCTCCCCATCCCGTAGAGCACAGTGTCAGGGATCCTCTTCTCTCTCCTGCTGCTGCAAAGTTGTGTGAACTTTCCTGGTCGATACTGGAAAGGGGAATGCTATTTATTTTTATATTGTGTATATTTTGTCTTGGTCTGCTGATTACCTTTGTTCCCCAAGAGCGACAGTTACCTCAATAGTTAGTTTAATACTGTGTGTTGGGTAATTTTTTTAAAGAACTTTTTTAAAAGCTTGATCCTTGGAGGTCTGTAGATTTTATTTCCATATGAATTGGTTATTTTGTATAAAGTAAGTTCTTAAAATAGCAATCACCCTCGCTGTATGTGTGTTTTCTTGTCTCCTGCATGGTCTCCCTCTGCCCTTGTAAGGGGGGGGGTGTGGTTGGGGGGAACACAGAGAGCTTTCTTCAGAGAGACAGAGCCCTGGATTGCAGTCAGACATGGTTGTACCACCTGAAATCTATTTACAAAAGAGCACCTGGAAAGCTAATTGGGATCATTTCCCTTTCTGAAGCACAGCTGTCTGCCTATGAACAACCCCACTGTGGAAATGAGATGGTGTCGCTGCTTTCCCCGCCCTGAGTCCCTGGTGTGCTTGGAAAGCCTGCTTCCTCCCCCAAAACACCACACAGTCTAGGGGCACAGGTAGCCTGTTCCCCCAAAACCTCTCTGCTTTAAAAAGGGTGATTGCCCTTAAACCCCACAGAGTGATGTTGCTATGAAGGAGCCACTGATGTAGCCTATGCAGTTCCCCTTTGTGCTTTTTTAATGCTAAGCAGCATAGAGTGTGATGCCCCTCAGGGGCTGTTGGAGGAATGAGAAGCCTTTCCAGCTCATGTGAGGTGGTCCTAATCCGTATTAGATGTCAAAGCAGCACTTGCTGTTCACTGTTTATTAAATCTCTCATGTGAGATGGGGAGTGGCTGCAGCCCTGGCAGCACAGAGGTGTTTAAAGACAACAGAGCTCTTCCTTGTGGGGGTTTTGGCATCAAATCTGGGAAATGGCCCTACCGTGTTGTGTGGGAAGGTGCCTGCTGTAGGTGTATGGAGGCAGCTTGCGCTTGGCCCTTGCTCAGCTGGTCCCCAAGTAAACAACTTGCTCGGTTCCACTGACTCAGCAGCTTTGCATCAGGACAAAATCAAGGTGATTTCCCTTGAATGCTGGTGCCAGCAAAGGAGGGCACATAGGATGACTGGCAGAAGGCTGGAGGCATGATAGCTCCCACGTGCATGCTGCGGGCCCTTTCCCTTTTCTGCCCAGCTTTAGCTGGTAAAAGCTCCCTCTGCCTCCTCCAGGACCGGTAACAGATGCTCTTGCTCACATCTCCTGCCAAAACAGCTTTGCAGCATAGCCTGCTTGTGCCTCAAGCTCCATCTGCCCCTCCTGCCGGAGCCGTGCCTGGGGCTGGGGCTGTTCCTGAGCCCAGTGTGCTCCGCTGGCTCTCGGCACCAAAGCTGCCTCTGCAAATAGATGCTTATGAAACATTTGTCTGTGACGCAGGACCCCACGCTTACTGGCCAAACCAGAGGCCTCATCCTGTCCTCATAGCTCTTCCCCTCTGTGTGCCCTAGCAGCAAGTTGATCCCTCGCACCACCAGCATTTTACAAAGACTGGTCATTGAACCCTGGTGAATCAATTGTTCAATAGCTCACTGAATCCTCAGCAGTGCATCCCTGCTCCTGGGGCCATTCAGACACTCACTTCACTCTCCACGGCTTGCTCCAAGAATAACTTATCCTTCCACTGCATATTTCATACTGAAAGAAGCCCTCAGGAGCATTTGTTGGCACCTTCCTGCCCCTGGACTTTTGGAGGAGTCTGAGATGTGACCTGCTGTACCCAGACACCTTGAGCACCCCAAAATGGCCAGTGGGGTGTCAGAGGCAGGTGAAGCCGAGCATCCTAGTGGGTGCTTCTCCAGGCCCTGCGGAGGCTGTTTGAGGATGCTGGTTCCTCCGAGGTAAGCTGCTTCCAGGCGGGTGAAGGGCTGCTCTCTGTCACGTATCCTCCTTCCTCCTCTCCCCCTCCGGGGGCCAGGGTTCAGGGTGACGAGAGCAAGCTGTCCGATTGAGGAAGGGGAGGAATTCGGACGCCCCATCAGTCCCAGGAAGTGTTTGGGTCAGAGGGGATAGGCAGGGGGAGATTTCTAATCCTGGGGCTAAGCCTGCACTGAGTGGAGCCAGCGCTAATTGGAACCAGTCCCAGAGAAGGGGCAGAAAGCTGCTGCTTTTAGAGGTGCCTTGCAGCCCAGGCAAAGACAAAGCTTATCTGTGCTGTTGGAAGTGCCACATCCTAACCTTGACAAGATGCTATCAATCGGCAGTATCAAGCTAGGCCACTTGCCCACCTATTTGTTTACCTTTCTTCCTACTTTCTGCTTTCCATGATTCTTGTTTTTTCTCCTACTTCCTCCTATGGGCTGGCAAAGCTTAATCCCCTTTGCTAAGAAAGAGCTTTCCTGAGCTCTTAGGCTGTAGATTTAAGCTCTTGGCTTCCTCTCTAGCCTCCTTCTCCCTAAGAACTGTGATGCTTCCCACATCCAGCTTTTTATCCAGCTGTCTCAGAGCAGCTCACTAATCCGTGCAGGCTTGAATTGCGGATGGGTGGATAAATCAATTTCAATAGGGACTAGTTCAGTGCCCAGTTTGGGTGCAGAGATAAATGGCTGCCCCTTACCTCTGTCATGGGCCAGACACTTTGGAGACCTTTGGCTCCAGGAAGGCTTTGCCAGACCTGAATGGTACATCTTTGGGGGATGCCTCAGAGCAAAGGAATAACCACAGTGCCCTTGGCACCCATCAGTGTTTTTAGTGGGGGGTTGGTTGTGTACTTCCCTAAAAATAAAGAATATTGCAGATAAAGTTCCCATCTTGAATTTTCCAGTTAGTCACCACACTTAGCATGGGGCACACCATGCTAAGGTGTAGAAGGGAAGGACTAAGGCACTTGGGGTAGCTCAGGAAGACTCAGATTTAGGCTAAAAGAAATGGTTTCTGTTCACAGGAATGTTTAGTTACAGGTATTAGGAAGAATACATACATTCATATATTCAAGACTTTGATTTTTGTCCTCCTCCACCCCTCAAAGCTGCAATTTTTGCTTGGTGGAGAGGGCACATGCACGAAAAGGCAAAGCAGCGCCCCTTGCCCTGTTGGGTAGCAACAGACCTGAACACCTTGCTCCCAGGAATAAGCTCAGTCTGAGTGTGGGGTGTTGTTGTACCTGTATTTATATGTACACAAAACAAACCTTGAGGGTCTCCCAAGTGCTAGCAAAGAAATGCAAACTCGTTTTGTGACCCCAGGACCCTGTGCTTGCCCAGCAGAGAGACAGCAGTGGCTTTGCTGAAGGAGAAGGTGGGAAGGGGCTGGGGCTCACCCTGTGCCTGCCGCGGGGATCAGGTCAGCACCGGGAGGCCACATGTTCCCTGCCCGCTTGTTTAAAGTCCTCTCTCAGCGAGGCTGCCGGGATGGAGGGATCATAAAGAGTTCAGCCCCTTGTCCCCAGCGCACCCGTCCTTCTGGGGCCCGTGGGCAAAACTTGCTTGCAATTTCCTCAGGCCGTGACCTTTGTTTTGACCATGGTGGACGAGGATTGCAATCCATCAAACCCAGGGCTGCCTCTGGCTGGCAGAGGGAGTGCCTTTATGAGGGGCAGGAAGGCACAGAGAGGAAAGTGGCACCACGTGTGCCACAGGACGTGCTCCTGACAGAGTTGAGAGTTTGCTCTGATTTTCCTTCCCAAATGGATTCTGTATCATGATTTCCTGCAGGAGAGATGTCTTGCAGGGTGTGTGCTTTGAGCCAGCCCTGCAGACCAACCAGCAGCATCAGGATCATACTTCTGGCTGGAGCTTGAGCAAAATGGGATGTGCCAGCAGATTTACCACCTCTGAAGCCCTGGCTGCTAATGGTCCCTGCACTTCCAGGTTTTTGGAAGATCCCAATCCAGCAGCACTGTTTTGTTAGGAAAATTAGTAGTAAACTAGAACTATCCCTTGGGAAACGGCTCCTGTAGGTGTCTGCCTCTCCACTCAATTTCCCAGGGGGGCAATTCATCCCAGGAGCACAAGTTCCCCTGCATCCGGGTGTCCCTTTTGAAGCCATACCTGCATATGAAACGAATCTCCCCCGAGGAATGCAGCCTGTGCATTCCAGTCTACCCCGCTTCCTTTGGCTGCCTGCCTCTGCCTCCCCTCCCTCTGATCTCCGCTTCCCTAGGGAAAAGCATCCTACCAAACTTCCCTGCCATTGAATACAGATTCCCTTGGGAAATTACTCTGTCCCAGATCCCCCTTTGACCAATCCTTGGAGAGGCAACTCAGTTTTGGGGTCAGAAGAGAGGGTTGCAATATTTCCCCTAGCCCCTTTTGTAACAGCAAGCATGGCCTTGAAACCTCATACCATCCTTTCCAGCCCAACTGACCACTTGCATGGGAAGCAGGCACGTTTTTCCCTAGGAAGGAGCTGTATGATAATTTCCAGGCACAGCAGACCATGGTGTGAAGAAATGTGCTGCTTGGCTCCTTGTTTGATGAGGATCTGTTGAGCTCAGAGAGGAGAAAAAGGGAAAGGGAAGTCCTTTTACACTTCAAACTGAAAACCTTATGCTGGGGGAGGTAGCTCCTTGAACTGAAAGGAGGAATGCATAAGTCCCCCAGAAAGTCTTTAGAGGACAATCCAGACCTATTTGGAGGCATCGCCTTTCTCTCCTATGTCAGTTGCTGTCACACTTTAGCTTGTGTGCCTGGATTCCAATGCCACTTCCCCTCTGCACCTCTGTGCCCACTGCCCGACTCACACCAAACACAAACCTCTTCTCTGCCCTTGTCTCCAAGCACATCTCAACACCCAGTTCAGTGCCCACCTCCCTTAGAGCCATCCCAGCCCACCAACCCCACAAACCCTCCACTGCTTTGCCCTGCAGGTCCCAGATCTTCCTGGTGCTGGGAGCCCCCAGTGTGAGACAACTTTGAGAGCATCCACTGACTGCTTTCCTCCAGCTGCTGGGAGGCTGTTATGGACAGTGGTAGCATCCCCTATGTATGGGAGAGCTATGTCCCCTCATCACCAGTCTGTCCCCTTGAGAGGACACTCAGGCAGGGTCAGGGGCAGCTCCTTCTCCAGGTGGAGAGGAACAAAGCCTAGCACTAAAACACCCTTTTTGCAGGGATGAGGGCTTGTTTTACTGGTGCAACCCACGACCAGCCAGATGTCAGATCTGGAAGAGGAGAAGGCAGTGACCGTCATACGGGCACATGTGCTAGCTGCCATCCCATGTGTATGACCAATGGGCATGTCTGTGGGC